CAGTTCTACTCTGTCCTAAAGGGTCGTATGAGTCCAAATAGACTTCACGGCAACAAGTTTTCTTTTCTTTTTTTTTAAGTTTGTTGTTGTTAACCAAAAGCACAGAAGAAGGAACCTATAGTGCTGATTCCTGGGGCATTGATGTTAGCTATCACCAAACGCATTCTTTATTATATACCGAAATAAATTGGCCAAGGTTACATAACTAGGCAACGGGGGAGTCAACACTAGAACTGGAGTCTTCAGAATTCCAGCTCCAGGCTCGCACAGTGTATTAACAACTTTGAAGCAAATGATTTGTTTGAGGGGGACAAAGAGGAATTATGAGTTGGTACATTAGTGGAGGTACTTGCATGAGAAGTTACGGATTTTAAATCTTATATATGTAGTGAAGCAGAGGCGAGCAGCCGCGTTTATGACAATTAGCTTTAAATTGCTGAATGATCTCTCACGGCTGGCTATGGAAATTGCCATAGCAAGTAGAAACTGCTCAGTGGCGTCCAGGCCCCCCTCCCCCCATCAAGTGGCGCCCAAGGCACGCGCCATACCTGTCATAGCCTAGATAAGCTTCTGCAAGTGCAACTGTATGCTTAAGTGTCCTTACAAAGTGGGTTCTTCTGCACTGATTTTGTTTTGCAATATAAATTAGTTTTATGTTGTACAATTATTGCACAAATCATTCTGTACGTATCTCTATACCGATGTTGCAGGTTAGGAGAAGGTCTAGGATAAGGGTCAGGCGAGACACTCTTGTTTCTTTGTTAGCAGTGCCTCGGTGAAGATGGACATCCCTGCTTCCATCCGCCTGCGGCTGGCCTTAGCCACACAACCCGAGCAAGAGAATTGGCCCTCCGCAGCCACCGTCTCCTCATAAGACCCCGACCAATCAGAGACCTGAGAGGATGGGGCGGGACTGAGAGGCGCGCATGGTGCTTCTGGCCGTGTGTGCTATAATAGCTTTCGGAATGAAAGAAATTTATGCTAAGTTTGTGTCTCAGAAAATCAGCAAAACCCGCTGGCGACCGGTGCCTTCGGGGAGTCTACAGACAGTTGAGTCCTTCGCTACAGGCTCTTGGGACAACGAGGTACTTCCGCTCCCAGGGCGGGGAGGCACTGCCTCGCCCGTGCGCGAATCTTTTGGCCCTTCTCACCCTTCCTTCACTTCCTCCCAGTCTCCGACTCGGTTGCCCTGGAGCTCAGAGGCAGCAGTGGTGTGCCTGAGCCTGGTATCTCCTTGTGTTTTCATCTCTAAACACACCTTTTGTCTGAGATGATTTTGAAGCATAGTTGCCTGACGCCAGTAAAAATTTTATTTCTGAAGTTGACGGTTATTTCATCTCAGGATAAAACTTTCTGCTTTACAGGAAAATTATGTTTCGCTGTGGTCAATTGGAGATTTTGGAAACTTGGACCCTGATGGAGGGTTTGAAGGAGACCATCAGTTACTGTGTGATATCAGACACCATGGTGATGTAATGGATTTACAGGTAAGTGTGTGGTATCCACCGTTTGTGGATTTCTTATTATTATTATTTAAAATAACTGAGAGCAAAACACTTAGAGATGCAAAGGACTTTACCACTTGGCCAAACTTTGCAGGCAACAGAGTTTGCCCAACATCACATAGCCCCTTAGAGGCAGAATCAGGATTTAGAAAGGAGCTGTGGCTTGAGTTACAGTGTTTTGGCTTTGTTTTGTTTGTTTATTAATTACTCATCTACTCAGGTGCCGAGCACTGTTTTGGGGAGATTGACATAATAAGCCACCGCAATTCTCATTGCATGCCTGTGAGTCAAGCATTGTTCTGTTTTAACAATGGGAAAACTGAGACTAAGAAGATCTGTTGAGCATAAACTTTGTGACAATGTGCAAAGCACATTACTTGCTTTTCCTTTTTAAATTCATCCTCCCACATAGGGATTAGTAATTTTGTTTTAAAAGTTAAGCCACGCTTAGGGAACTTTATTAATTTGGTCCAGGTTATCAAAACCAATAGTGGGGCTGCCTCAAATTGTAATGGTGGGACTGGAGTTGAGTATTCAAATTCAGGTCCCTCCATCTTACTCCACAGAAAACTTTCACCCTGGGAATATTTTTCTAAAGCTTTTTTATAGTGGTCTAAAATAGAATCAATTACAGATGTAGAAGGTTAAGGAAAAGGTGATGTTATTTATTTTCCATGAATATGCCTTTGTTTCAGTAGTAGGGCTTTTCGATTGAATTATCATATTTTATTTGCTTGGTGTTCATTGGCTCTTTTTAAAATTGTAAGAGTTTACTACTGATTGAGTTAACCAAATGGGCTTTTTTCTACTAATATTTTACATATTATTGGTATGTATAATCAGGATTTTTCTACTTAGTTTTTGGACCAGGAAAGAATTGTAGCTGCTTCATCAACAGGAAGTGTAACAATTTTCCTTCACCATCAAAATAACCAGGTAAAGAACCCTTTGTTTGAAAACAATTTATATTTTCAATTATTTTTAGGATGACTGTGCTTATTAATTAAGGAGCTTTGGTGGCACAGTTGTTAAGGCATTTGGCTGCTAACCAAAAGGTCAGCAGTTCAAACCCAGCAGCTGCTCCGTGGGAGAAAAATGAGGCAGTCTAGTTCATAAAGATTACAGCCTTAGAAATGCTACAGGGCAATTCTACTCTGTCCTAAAGGGTTGCTGTGAGTCGGAATCGACATGGTAACAGTGGGTGAAGTTTTTGTTGGTGCTTAGTAATTATACAAATAATAAAATTTATAGTCAAAAAACACAAATATCACTGTTATATCATCTCTAGATGATGCAAACGGTTTGCATTCCATTTATTAACCCAAATGTTAGTGGTTCATGTCCATCCAGTAGGACCATAAAAGAAAGGCTTGGCAGTCTGCTTCTGTTAAGATTACAGCCAAAAAACAGGCTGTGGAGCAGTTCTGCTCTGTGACACATGGGTTGCTATGAGTCACTGTCAACTTGAGGATAACAGGCTTGACTTTTTTTATTGAAATTGGATATCCTTTACCTTGTTAATATATTTAACAAATAAATCTCTTAGTTTAAACTTAACAACTACTGTTGGCAGGTGATTTTACCATAATTCTGCTTCTTTAAGTTCTTTCAAGAGGGAAAGAACGCCTTCTAGCTCAGGTGCCATGAAGGAGCACAGGGGGCGTTACTCTGCTTCCGTATCTAGAGAACCCAGGTTGTAATCAGAAGGGAAGATGTACTACATGAAGATGTGACATTTCCTCAGTGCCTTTCTAGTTTGCTAAACGCAGGAGTGCAGACCTTCAGATCATAGTGGAGAGGACCATTTTTAAAAATAGCCCCAGTATAACACAGTTTTAAGTTGCTGGAAGAGAGTGTTTAGGTAGGTTTTGGGATTGATAAAGGTCACCTTGTTAATTTACCTTGTAAATCAACCTAGTTAATTTACCTAGTAAATATGACACCTAGATATTATTAAGAAATTTTCTTAATGGAGTCATTTAGAAGGAGTGATAGAGATTTATTTCATAGATATAGACTAATTCCCTTAGAATGTAACGAGTTGCTTTTGAACACAATTACTTAATATCTAAAAACCATTTCTTCAGTGAGATAAGCATGGGATATTACTAAACAACATTGCTTTTGGATCTAATTCCATGTGTCCAGAGCTTTGATGAAAGTAATGATTAGACTTTGGGAACCTGAAACACAGAGGGGAAAGGAAAGAGTTGTTCTTTTTTCTAGAAGGATGTGAAGAAGCAGAATTTTTAAATCTTCTTTTGTTGGAGGAAAGTGTTCATTTTTAAGAACTTGGCTTTGGTTAGTGATATCCTCCTGTCCTATACCTAGACTCTGTCAGCCAGCCATCAGTGGACAGCAGCTCACTACCACAGCGGCCCGGGCAGTCCTTCCTGTAGCAGTGCACCTTGTACAGGGGTTGTGTGCAACAGCCCAGAAATTGTCACAGTTGGTGAAGATGGCAGAATAAATCTCTTCAGAGCTGATCACAAGGAAGCTGTGAGGACGATAGGTAAGGAAAATCATATTTCTCCATCCTGTAGTAAGCACAATGTGAGTGTTTGAGTGATGTAAAAATCTACAAGGCAGGATCTCTCTCTCAAGACAGTATGTTGATAAGGCGCACATAAATGAGTAGAATACCATGACTACAGGGAGAGGGGAATCTTTTTTGACTGAGTGGGATCATGAAAAAAACATTAGCGAATAAGTAACAATTAATGTACATAATGGATCATAAGTAATACTAAAAGGGTGGCCCATTAGACAGATCACATGGAGTCAGGAGAGGGCCATTCAGAGAATGACAAAAAAGTATCATCTGACCTGACTTTAAATGGTTATGTAGGGAAAGTGATAGATGGAAAAGGTAGATTGGGCCTAAGTTGTAAAGTCTCCAATGCAAAGCTCTAGAGTTTACATTTTGTTTCACGAGCAACTACTGAGGCATCAAAGTTTTTGAGCAAGGGGGTGATACCTCCTTTGTGCCATGCTTTAGGAGGGTTATTCTATGTAACACTTCTTAACTGTGCTTCACATGTTATCTCTTAGCCCACCACTCCAGACCTTCTGAGTCAGCATATCTAGAGGTTGACCTGTGCAACCGTTTTTTGTTGTTTATTATGGTTTTTCAACTTTACAGATAGTTCTGAGGCAAATGCTTGTTTATTTGATAAAGACCTTTGCCTAGTGGGAGCACGGAAGGATGTGACTAAAGGAGAGCTGCTGCTGTTGTTGTGCAGTTGTATAATAAGGACTGTGGGCCTCATTGGTTAAAGCGCTCATGTAATCACGGTTTTGGTATCAGTATGTGTGGCAAAAAGAAAAGACTGCTTTCCAAATCCTACAATAACAAGTGTCTATTGTGTATTTGGGGAGCTCTGGTAGCACAGTGCTTAAGGCACCTGACTGTTAACCAGAAGGCTGGCGGTTCAAACCCACCAGCCACTCCTTGGAAGGAAGATGGGAAACCCAAGGAGGGGTCGCTATCGATGGCACATAACAACAACATTGTGTATTTGGGAGCTCTGGTAGCGAAGTGCCTAAGGCACTTGACTTTTAACCAGAAGGCTGGCAGTTCAAACCTACCAGCCAATCCTTGGAAGGTTGGGCAATCTACTTTCGTAGTGATACTGCCTCGGAAACCCAAGGAGGGGTCACTATGAGTCAGGTCCGACTCCATGGCACATAACAACAACATTGTTTATTTAAGGAGCTTTGGTGCTATTGTGGTTAAGGCATTTGTCTGCTAATTAGAAGGTCAGTGGTTCGAAACCACTGGTTGCGCCATGGAAGAAAAATGAAGCAGTCTGCTTCTATAAAGATTTACAGCCTTGGAAACCCAGTGGGGATTGGTGGGAGTCAGAATCGACTCAATAGCACTGAGTTTCGTTTCCTTATCATGTGTTTAATTAACATTGTGATGGGATACAGAAAAAAATTATAAGACATGGTCCCAGTGTTAGGACTGTGTATTCATGAAATGGTCACACAAAACAAAGATCTCTATAAGTGTATTGCTAAATTATATGATAAAAGCTCTAAGAGATAAGATAGCTAGATAGCAGCTGTGGAGTTGACTCTGACTCCAGGTGACCATATGTACAACAGAACAAAATGTTGCCCACTCCTGTATCACCCTTATGATTGCTGGAATGTTTGAGTCCATCACTGTGGCTGTTAGGCCAACCCATCTCACCAAGGGTCTCCCTCATCAACCAGAAGCTCTAAACACTTGAGGAATTCAGAGAAAAAGACTATTATAATAATCAAGAAGGATTTTATGGAGGAGGAAAGGATTGAGGCAACTAATGATTAATGGGTTTGGGGTGAGTAAGCAAAGTAGTACAAGGTCAGAGTGTGTTCTGTAGCAAACGCTGGGATTTGGCTGAATAGATTGGAAATTCTGGCTTAAGGATTTGTAGATAAAGAGGAACTTAAACAGCCATCTCGTAAATGCAGGGTAACAATCTTAAGAGGAAATACAAATTCATGAAAATGCAGTCCTCCATTTGGGAAATCGTTCCACATTCTCTGAGTCCTATTTTTCTGACAATGGAGAATTTATTTTAACGTATATATTACTGTTAATTTTCTATAGAAATATTACTTATTCTAAAATTCATATGTACTATTTGATTTAATAGAAGGAATGTGTTTTTTCCATTGAAAAAAGAGACCCATTAACACACATTATTTTATATAATTGTAGATAATGCAGACAGCAGTACACTACATGCTGTCACCTTCCTTCGAACTCCTGAGATTCTGACAGTAAATTCAATTGGACAGTTAAAAATATGGGATTTCAGACAACCAGGAAATGAACCCTCTCAGATATTATCAGTGTAAGTTTATAATTTCAGTCATGTGATGCAAATTGTTTACTTGTTTGTAGCAACTGGCTTGAAACCATATTCCATTTTAATTGCACTCTAAGAGAATGATTCCTGCTAAAGTTTGATAGAGGAGAGAGAATTTGATGAGCTTGGTACTACCATGCTGCCTTAATAAATACTTGTGTTGATTTAGAGCCTTTATCTCTTTGCTGTTTATATTATTTAACTGAGAACATAGTTCTGCTTATTAAGTGATTCTATTGATAGTAGGTATTACACATTCTAGATGTGATTGGGGACAAAATGCAATCTGAGATACTTTGCTGAGCAGAATCCCTTTGTGTGTGCATCCTTCTTTTCTATCAAGAAAATAGAATGCATCAAACTGGAAAATATTTGTATGAACTCTGGTGGCATAGTGCCTAAGGCATTTGACTGCTAACCAGAAGGCTGGCAGTTCAAACCCACCAGCCACTCCTCAGAAGAAAGACTGGGCAATCTATTTCCATAGAGATACTGCCTCAGAAACCAAGGAGGGATCACTATGAGTTGAAACGACTTGATGGCAGTGTGTTTGTTTTTGGGTTTTGTTTATGTACTAAATAAGGTAGGAGTAAAGAATCTTCTGTATAATTAACAGATGGAAAAAAAAAACTCACTACCGTCAAGTCAGATCCGACTCACAGCGACCCCTCCTTGGGTTTTCAAGGCAGTATCACTACAGAAGTAGACTGTCCCATCTTCCTTCTGAGGAGTGGCTGGTGGGTTTGAACCACCAGCCTTCTGGTTAGCAGTCAGATGCCTTTAGGTACTACCCCACCAGAGCTCCCTAATTGACAAATAAAGTTTAAAAAAAGACAAAAACTGGAATGTGTTTTGCACATCTTACCATCGGATTGTACTGCTTCACATGTGTCCAAATTGAAGAGGATGAATAATGTTGGTCTTTAATCCTAAAAAATTCTACATACTTAGAAGTATATGTGATCTGGTCCATTTTTGACAGGATTAAGGTTCAACCAGTAGTGCCAGCCATAGAGTTACAGGAATAAAGCATGTTTCCAAGGTTATGCAATGATAAATTACACTTTACCACATATTTGCTGTCATTGTCTCTCCCATAAAAGGACTGGTGATCGAGTGCCCCTTCACTGTGTTGATAGACATCCCAACCAGCAGCATGTTGTAGCTACTGGCGGCCAGGATGGAATGCTGAGTATCTGGGATGTTAGACTAGGTACTATGCCAGTGTCTTTGTTGAAGGCTCATGAAGCTGAAAGTAAGTATTATGGAGACACACAGTTTGTATTGGTGGTTTCTATAACATTGTCAGAAGTTTTCCATAGCAATATATACAGATCTGTTTCCATCATTATTTTTGATAGCTGAGAATTGTACAGATTTACAAGAATTCATTTTTATGTAATATTTACTTTCTTTAAGGTATTTCATTCTTTTATCCAGAGCTGTGGTGATCATATATTCATTTTTGTGTACTTGTTTTCTTACAATAACTTTCTAAAAGCAGAACTGATAGGCCAAAAGTTTGCATAATTTTAAAGCTGTGATACTTGTCAGATTGTTCTACATAAAAATTACATTGCCATCCTTTGTGTGAATGCCCTTTTCCCATGTAATTGAGGCCATTATTTTTCGTATTTGTTAATCTGTTGCCTTCCACAATTTATTAGTCTTTTTTAAATTTTTTTAACAACCATATATATTTATATGCTATTGTCTAATTTTTTCTGGGGAGTTTTTGGTTGTTTGTGTTTGGTGGGAAGTTTTTGACTGGATAGGAATTTTCCGTTTTATCACTTCTCTCTTTGATAACATGCCAGAATATCATGCTGAAGTTTATGTGAAGCTCCATGTGAATAAAAGTACAAAAGACCAAACACTGAATCAAAATTGAGACTTCTTGGCATAGGGCCTAAGACATTTGACTGCTAACCAGAAAATGGTCAGTTCAAACCTACCAGCTACTCTGTGGCAGGAAGACTGGACAATCTACTCCCATAAAGATTTACTGCCTCAGAAACCCAAAGGGGGTCACTATGAGTCAGAATCAACTCGATGGCAGTGAGTTTGGTTTTGGTGAGTTTAGTCTAAGTAAGGAGCTCTGGTGTGTAGTGCCTAAGCCATTTGACTGCTAACCAGAAGGTTGGTGGTTCAAACCCACCAGCCACTCTGCAGAATGAAGACAGAGCAATCTACTTCTGTAAAGACTTACCACCTTGGAAACCCAGTGGGTGTCACTGTAAATAGGAATCAAGTTGATGGCAGTGAGTTTGGTTTTCTTGTTTTTTTTTTTTTTTTGGTGGTCTAGGTAAGTTTCACATTATTACCTTAGAAAAATAAATGACTTTATGTTCAAGAAGCAAATAAAAGGATAGCAAATGTTTGTGTCTACCTGGTATAGCTTTGCCCAGGAAAAGGAAATTTAAAAAAAGCAATAAGGTACGTCCTCACAGATAGTGATGTTGGCAGATCTCTCTCAGTGGCTTTTTAACTGTCAGTCTGGACTGCTAACCAATCCACACAGAGTACCCTGGCTTGTCAGTTACTGCTCTGAATTCATCCTGACTTGTGGCTACAAGTAAAATGAGCTGTTATTTTCTCATTTGAAAATAAATACATAAAAATCCAGATTTGAGCAGTCTCCTCATAGCTGTCCCAGGCTGTTTTGTTTCAGTTTTTCTAATGAAGCCTTGTGAGTGTGCTTTACTCGGGGACTCATACTTAGAAGTATATGTGATCTAGTCCATTTTAGAGAGAACACCCTCTCCTGAGGAAGATGACATTTTTATGTTTTGTGGCATGGTATTTAATTGTGATATCTGTCAGGATGAAAACTGCCACCTGTAAACATGTGCTGTTCACTTTATGCCACACCTCAGCAAATGTCTATGCTGATTCTTCAAGGTCACCTTGTCCAGAATCACAGACTCCTTGTTCACTGGCTATCTGTTTCATCCTGGCCAGTCATTGGCTCCCAGATGTCTACTGGTACACAAAGTTCCCTTAAAGTGTAGAACTTGAGTCGGGGTGGGGGGGGTCCCAACCCAAATTTGGCTTCTTAAAAGCCTTTATCTAAAACTGGATCCAGATTCTTGGAGCATTTGCAGGCTTGGCTAGGTAGGAGCTAGGAGCTATTTCTGTGATATAGGCCAGAAGTGCCCAGAGTCCTGGCTTGAGCCATAATTGGACTCAGCCTCTTAGAAACTCATTTATCTATTCCTTTTATGGTCTTCTCTCTGTCTATCCAATAATATAACCTTCATACAGGAATTAAGAGTAAGAGATTAACTACTTTTTAATAAATCTTCAGAGTTATCACATCATAATTTTCCATTAAAAAAAAAAAAAAAAAAGAAACTAATACATTGTTAGCAATTATTTTCATTCTTTTTCTGGTCCAGTACACAAATAGGTTTACTTCTTTATTCTAACTTCATGTTAGGGCCATTTAGAGAGCTATCCTCTGTCTTTTCTTTAATTCTCGGGCCTTTGATTTTTGGGGTATGAAGGTATGCCATGAAAATAATAGATGAGAGTTCCTGAGACAGGCTTAGTGTCATTTGTTCAACTACTCTGCACAGGAATTAACTTCACTGTTCTTGTCTTTCAGTGTGGGAAGTTCACTTCCACCCATCCAACCCAGAACGTTTATTTACTTGTTCTGAAGATGGATCCCTCTGGCACTGGGATTCCTCCACAGACGTGCCTGAAAAGTCATCACTCTTTCACCAAGGTAAAGTCTTAATGAGGATATGTAATGTTACTATACTTCTAAATAGGAAATTACAAATTCTCATATTTTTTAACATTTAAAGAATGGTAGAATATTTTCATTCTTCCACCTCGGTAAATTCTAGTATCACAGAACTTGAGATTTCTGGCTGTCAGTTTGCCTGGTGATTAGAAATGCAATTAACTTGCAAACCTCACACAGTCAAGGTTCTTTTTTCTTGTTTTAAATATGATTTTATTTGTTGTTGAGAATATACACCACCAAACACACAGCAATTAGACAGTTTCTGTATGTGGCATTCAGTGGCATTGATTACATTCTTCACGTACAGCCAAGCTTCTTTATGAGTATGCTGGCATTGGTCCAGAGGGTGACACCAAAACCCCATTGCCATCAAGTCGATTCCAACTCATAGGCAACTCCTTTATATTGTGTTGCCAACGCAGGGTGTATGGCAAGAAGAAAGTTGATCTTTCTATATTGGGGTACCAGTTTCACCTCAGCTTAAAATGCCCCATTTCAATTAAAGTCAGAAGTAAATAAAGATCAACCAAAAACTGTTCACTTACATTCTAGGGTTTGCATTTTCTGTACTTCCTGTTTTGAAGATTTGTCTGTAGTTCCAAAGCTGATTTATTCATGCATTCAGCAAATGTTTATTAAATACCCGCCATGTGGTCAGTACTCTTCTAGGTGTGGGGGTCTGTGCCTGTGAGAAGAATACAAAGTCCCTCCACACACATAGCAAATAGTCTCACAGACAATAAGTAAACAGATAAGGTGTTAGTAATGGCCCAGGTTAGGGGAAAGAGAAACTACCTTGGATTTAGAGGGAAGTAGTTTCACATGAGGAGCTCTGGTAGCATAGTACCTAAGGCACTTGACTGCTAGCCAGAAGGCTGGCGGTTCAAACCC